TGCTTTGATGTTCTCAATCATGTGAACAAATTTCTGGTTGTATGTCCTTTTTTCTTTTTGAGAAATCTATAATTAGATGAGCTAACAATGCTTATTAGCCCAATTTACAAATAGTATCCCAGTACTCAGCTACTTCCTCAGGAGGGCATCATCAACAATTAAGAGTAATGCCAACAATTGGTAAGCTACTAGTTGACAAATGTTTGCAGTCATGGCCAGAGGAACCCCCTGCCTTTGACCTGCCACCTGTAGAGTACAATTTGCACATACATATTTCTCTGTCTTCATTTTCTATCCCCTAGGGCAGCCTCTTCTGTAGTTGCAGTAGGGTCTGTCTAAAATTGGCTTGTAATTTGCTTGCCTAAATAGAAGAACCCAATAACAGGGCATTGAGAATTTTAACTAATTCCTTAGAGTATTTCTGCAATAATGAATAAAGTCAGTTTGGTCTCAGAAAATAAAAGCAACTGCCTACTGCTTAACAAGTGTTCAAAAGACCATTCATCTTTAACCAAGCATGACTGGCTCCTTACCCTTTGCAAAGCAATGTTGAAAATTCAGTCAAAAGTAGGTGGATGTGGCGACTGCATGGTTTTTTGTTTTTGATGCTGGCAATTAAACCCAGGGCCTCATGCAAGCTGAGCATGCACTTTACCGCTGAGCTATACCCCCAGTCCAACCCTAGTTTTCTTAGCTGGAAACAACCATAACAGAGTGCTCAGATGATAGTGGGAAACTGAGCATGGAAAGTTAATTGGTAAGCAAACCCAAGAGATAGGGAGATACATTTTATAAGGCCATTCAAAGGATTAAGTAGTTGGAATTTTCATAATACTTTGCTGTTGTTGGAGGAAGAATTAAGAAGTAACAGATTTGTTTGCATATTTCCTCCTCCAAGTTTTTAAAAATCTATAAATAGCTGAAGATATAGATTATGAATAAAGTATTATCAATTTCATTAAAAATCCACCACTAATGAATGGGAATGGTCTTCAAATTAGTCTGTTTAGGTAATGCTTGGAGGCAGGTAGAGACAGTTTATACCATGTAGTCTAAAAGCACAAAGGAAAATCCGGACCATCACTTATTTACCTTTCTTCAGACAGTTATTGCTATCATTATCTTCTTGGGAGCATTTACCTCTAAATTTTTTGACTGGGCATAGCACATTATAGTCCATACTGAGTTTGAGGATGATAAAGAGAAGGCCTTGTTATTTCCTATCAGTTTACACTGATATATTCAAGACATGTTTTTTTTAAACAAATGACTTTGAGGTATGAATAACAGTTCTGAACATATTTAATGTATACAACTTGCTAAGACTAAGTGAATACACTGAGAACTAAAACATTATTGATTAGCTAAAAACAAATTGTCTTCTTAGGACCATGCTAGGTTATGCATACTTTAATCTGGTAAATAAATTAAAACTGAGTCTTAAACAATTTATTGATTTGTCTTTCCCATATATTGACAAGGAGTATTTTAACCCAGATGTACTGGTGAAAAGGTAATACTGACTACACTGCCCAGAAGTGAAATATTTTTAAATAAATATAAAAACTGCAACATTTAATTATTCTCTATAGTCTAAAGCTAGTCTTTTTGGTTGTTATTGGTTTTACTTTTGCAGGAAAAGATTTGTACAAAATTATATAGGTTATCAGACATGAATACAAATAATTATTCTTTAAAAAGTCGCTGGAATTTTTTTGGGGGTGGGTACTGGGGATTGAACCCAAAGCCTTTGCACTGAGCTACATCCCCAGCCCTTTAAAAAAATGTTTTTTAAAATTTTGAGACAGAGTCTTGCTAAATTGCTCAGGCTAGGCTTGAATTTGTGATCCTCCTGCCTTGGCCTCCCAGAGTGCTGGGATTATAGGCTTTCTGAAATTTTAATGTAATTCCATGAGACAACGTGACTTCAGATTTCCCTGCATTGCATACACATAGCACAACTTTTCATGAAATTTAAGTAAATATAATTTTAGAGGAATCATAATGTAAAGAGAATGAAACTTTTTGATCACTTGCCATGTAATAGATGATTTGTGTACATTATCTCAATCTTCTTTCAAATTCTATGAAGTACATTTTTGTCCCATTTTATGGATAAGGAAGTGTAGGTGCCGGGAAGTTGTGTCCAGGTTCACTCTTGCTGTAACCCTGGATTTGAAGCTGGATTCATGGCTGTACCCTTGACACACCAGGTGGCCAGGCAGGGAGTTTGGAGAGGAGTGGAGGGTGAGATCTGAAATCTGAGTGGGGCCTTGTGTGCTGCCGGCCGCCCTGTCCAGGGAGGGGGTCCTGAGTGGGGTGAGGCTGAAAAACTTCTTGATGTCTCTGAAGTGGAAAATTTTCAGTAATCCCTAAGTCTACACACAAAAATCCTTTTACAGTAGTGGTGAAAGTAATCTTATGGGTTGCTAAACCGTCCCCAGTTCCTTTGTGGTCTTCAGTATCTCCAGACAGGTCCTTGGGGTCCCAAGCATTGATTAGCAGGTACGGCCCCCTCATGACTTTCTCCTGGCCCTGGGCACACCCAGTCCTGGTCGTCACAGAAAGATCTAGTCTGTGTGGTCTTCCTTTTTGTTTTTATAAAAACAACCACTTCAGTATGGTGAAAGGAGCATTCTTCTCTATACACAGTCACTGAGCCCTGTTGGGGCTGGTTGTTTAAGGGGAACTTAACTGAGTGACTTGAAGGTGTATTCTCAAGTGTCCAAAGATCCTTTTGTTTTTCTTGATGTGTCTGTCTGTCATTTGTTCTACTCTTTTGGGAAACTCAGCACACTTGGTTTTCTAACTTTGCAGCTCAGGATATATTTAATATTAACTAAAGTCCATGCTAATGACCCCCACCCACCTTTTAATTTAAAGGTAATTAAATTCATCTAGGGTGAGTGGTATAAAGCACATGTGCAAGCCCTAAAGCCTTTTGTAATTGGCATGGAATTCTGGCAGGTGCCAAGTTTGATTGTATCTCTTGCCGTTGGTTTATTAAAACTTAGATCTAGGAAATGCAATCATCTTTTATCCTGACACTGATCTTTGTATGATAAAATTCCCAATGGGGCATCCTGTGAAGAAGGGCTTTTCCCTCGCGTGTCCAGCTGTGTCTGTGCTGTACACACAGCCAAGTCAGCCCAAGGCGCTACTCCGAGAGACTGTCAGGACCTCCAGGGCCATCGATGTCCCATTTTCTATACTGTCAGGCACAGCAAAGCCCTTCTCAGCTTTGTCCCCTTCCCACCCACAGCAGCCACTGACAGTATTTGAGCCTTATTGGAGTGGGTGGCGGAAAGAAGTCCAGAGCAATTTCCTGTTGTTGGCTGCGGTGCAGGACAGGGGGCCCTGGGCATGGTTTTTGGATATCCAGGTATCCTCTGACCTTACTTATCCTTTGTCCTAATGAACAACTTCCTGGTTTCTACAATTGCTGCTCTCACCAAGGTCACTCTGTTTAAATTATTCTAAATTCAAAATAGATAACAAATATTTCTGGTCCTCGCTTCCCTTCGTTTGGTCAAGGAAGGAGAAGACACACACGCTCGCATCCCCCTCCCCCATCGCACACATGGTTCTGTTTTGGCACCTGGTAGCCATCAGGAAAACCTGATAAACTTGAAAGGGTTGTTTCCCGATCCCTTCAGAGTTGGAGAAATGATTTCATGCTGACTTTATCCACGGGATTGAAGAAAGGGAGAGTGCGCTCGCAAGCACAAACAGGAAAGCCTGACATCACGGAGCGGCGTGGGGAGGAGTCTGCCCCTCCTCGCCGCCCGCTCGCCGCGCTCCCTTTGTG